TGGCCAAGGATGCCAGGGCTGTTGTGGCTCAGGATGTCCTGGATGTGGCTCCGGATGTTGCCCGGGCCCAGGCTGCCAGGGCATGGGCTGTGGCCAAATGGGAGCCATGGGCGGCATGGGTTGCCAGGGCGGCTGTGGCGGCTGTGGCAGCTGTGGCAGCTGTGGCGGCTGTGGCTGTGGCGGCTGTGGTGGCTGTGGCGGCTGCGGCGGCTGTGGCGGCTGTGGCAGCTGTGGCAGCTGTGGCAGCTGTGGCGGCTGTGGCCCAATGGGTGGCAATTGTGGCTGTCAGATGGGTTGCCCCAACCAGATGGGATGCCAGATGGGTTGTCCCAGCCAGATGGGTTGCCCCAACCAGATGGGCTGTCCCAACCAGATGGGCTGTGGCCAGATGGGTGGCCCAATGTGTGGCAGTGGGTGTCCTGGACTGGGCCAAATGGGAAACTCTATGAGCAACGCCATGGGGCCAATGAGTGGTCCCAAACCCATCGGTGGCATAGGCAGCCCTATTGGTGGACCCGTGCCCCCTGGTGGGCTAATGGGCTGTCCACCCCCAGGGTCAGGTCCCACGTCATCCACACCAGATGCCGGTGCAGCTGACGCCAAGGAAGATGCAAAAGGCACGACGTTGCGGGACTGAAAGATGATACTCCGTTGATCCTTGTTGCCTATTCGGGGAAGTCGGACCAGAAGAAGGAATAGACCCAATGCCAGAGCTGCAGTGAATCTTTCTTCGGGGCGTTTCAAGCTTTGATAGAGGTTGATTCGAGGGAAGTAATGGGAAATCACTGTATTGGCATGTATTCACCATCCAGAATAATGGTTTCCGCAAAGTGTTTTTGAATGTTTTTGATCATTAGATTCCAGCACTGCCAGCTGCCCCTGCTTCTGCAGGCAGAGAACGAAGCCGAAGCAGAGATAAACCGCACGAAAATCGCACTGATGGCGAGAAAGCTTAGGGGCCATGATCAACTGCGATTATGGCAGAAAATGCCCATCCGAGCATCCAGATTTGTGTTTTTTCTATTGGGCTAAAAAAAACCTAAAACCCATTGGAGAAGTGTGGACCCCATTTTTGGTGCGAAAAATCTGGATGTTTTCTGGGTGCGGCCCACTGGACGGAGCCTGACATCAGCCGAGATTGGAGCCTTGGAGCACGGGAAAATCATCAAACCTGCTGACTTTGGTTGGAGGATCTTTGGGATAATTGAAGCACCCATGAAACACCCATCAGTTGGAGTCTGACGAGTCTGATTCTGTTTCCTTTTTGATTTTTTTGGCATCGCAAATGGACATTTAACACATGTTTAAAACCCTTTAGATGCAGGTGCCGGTTCCAGCGGGGACCGCGGTCGCGGGTGAATTTCGCTCCAGTCGACCTGCTAATGGGACAAAAAGGATTTCACTTGTGGAGCCAAGCATTTGACAACATGCACTTCCAGTGAATGGTGTCCATGCTAAAGTGGGCATTAATTAAAGGACATCAAATTCTTTGCTGTGACTGGTGTGCTCTTGTTGAAATCGGACCGACTTTCCTTCTCCATCCTCAAGCCGTTTCTTGAAAGGCGATTCCAAAGTCCCACTCCAATCTTTGTTTCTCAGAAGTTCTCAGCAGATTTTCGACCGCAAGTTGCTCAAGTGGGGGGTGTCGATCCCATCGCCATGGTTCGCTTTCGCGGACTCACGGCGCTCGCCTGTCTGACGCAGCTGGTCACCGTTCACGGTGCCGATTGCTTGAGCACAGTGGATGTGATCCCCGCAAATCAGCGCGTGGATATAACTCTCAATGGACAAAGCATTCCAATTGGCTTTTCAGGAGCTGTTGTTTTCATTTTTCGTTAGAGAACATCATGAAAATCAGCAGGGGTACATCACCATTCGGGGTTCAAAGCATCATTTGGGGGTCAAAAACCTCGGCCTGACGTGTAAAATGTTGGGGGTATGATGCAGTATGATGCAGTCAGATGCAGTCACAGGACCTGACTGGGATTCCGCAAGGCTCTACAGCAAAATCGCTGAGATCATCACCAAGGAGATTTTGGGCTTCAACACACAGATGGGTCCCCATGGAGATGAGTCAGGAACAAGCTACATGCTGGCAGCACAAGGCTCGTCAATCCATTTTCTCAGTGAGATTTGGTCTTCATTCAGTGAGGACATCGTGGTCTTTGACGCGAACAATCCTGACAAAGCTCTACCCTCGCTGAAGAATTTGGACTATTCCGGCAGGGATGGGATGTTCATTTTCCCCAAGTCCTTCCAGCCATACTACGATACCTATGGCAAATCCTTAGAATTCTATCAGTACTTCAACGTCAGCGTCTTGCGTCGGAACTCAGACTTCTCGAAGATTGCAGACTTTGACCTCACCATGCTGTCAGCTTGTGATTCAGGAGGAGGTGCTGAGATCGAAAAGACCTACTACCTGCAAACCACCGGGGACAACGATGCTATCGTCAATGGGGCTTGGGTTTGTCACCAACAGAAGTGGTGGTTGTCCCCAGGCTGTAGATCAGATCCAACTACCTGCGTTCCACTGCTGACCCACTTGTTCTGGGGTTGGAGTGAGATGCGACAGAAAGCAGCCTATTTCAACATGCCCGTTGCAATGGCCAGCACAACCTCCAATGAGATCTACAAACAGTGGCCCAAGGACAACAAGATGCTCGTATCCCGGCTGGACAAACAGTAAAGCCATGGAAAGCCACTGGATCTGGGTAGGGATCAATGACATGTCATACATGTTCTTCCCTTCTAAACATCGGAATAACGAGAATAGCCAGAATTGATCAATTTTCAAAGGTTCCCCTGCCACTCATCCATTTTTTGGGTGTTTGGGGTTTGACTGCTGGCCAGGTCTCAACTCATTTAAGTGTGAACTCATTCGAGTTCTTTTTGGGGTCATACTGAGCTCCCGAGGCATACTGGTGGATGCCGGATGACCGCTTCACATCCGATGGAGCCATTCAGATGTTCTTCCCTGACCACAACCCGGGCCTTTGGGAGGTAGGGAACAAAGTCACTATGGCCGTGGCAGAGCCCCTGTATTCCTACTATAAGCCAGGCATTGACTCTGCGGCACCAAAAGTCTACCAGCTGATGAGCAGTATGCAACTTGACTGCTTTTTGTTGGTTATAGAATGAAGTGTTTTTGTGGGTACCCTCTGGTAAACTAACATAGCTATTGAAAATGGCCATTTATAGTGAGTTTTCCCATCAAAAATTGTGATTTTCCATAGCTACGTTAAATTACCAGAGGGTAACCATCCCCTGGTCATCACCATTTTATAGGTGCTATAAACCATTCCTCAGTCATGGCTGGTGACATCCGAGTTCACCTCTGGACTTTGCGAAGACCAATTCTGCAGGGTCTGCCAGGGTCGCCATGCCCGAAATTGAAGAACCATGGATTTTCCCATCATCCCAATAGTTGCAGGTGAAGTGCCATTTTAAAAACGCTAGTTGATTCCAACTTAACTCAAGTTAACTCCCCATTTTCGCCCATGAAATCCGCTGCTTCGGAGTCGTCGTGACTCAGGACGCTCTTTGATGATGACATGATCCGTTTGTTGAACGATGTCGTGGCAGCGCGAAGTCAAGGCCAGAATTGTGGAGATCACGGTGAGCCGTTGGGATGTTCGAAATCGGGGATTGGATAAGCCACCCATTCTCATAGTAATTATATGTAATTATATAATTGATGTTAGCTATATAATGCTATATAATGCTATATGTATATATATATATATACAATATATATGTATACATATTGGATGATATTAGCCAATTGAAATTCAGGCATCACATATGTACTGGCCACATGACATGAATTGTCCGGCTTAGTCTTGGATGGATGAGATTCGGAACTGGAACTGGATTAGCCAACCAATTTGTAGCCATTAATGCGGTGAAAGTTGATAGTTCCCCAATATCGAGGCTGTTAGTTATCCTTGAAATTGTAATAATGGCACATTGACTAATAATTGTTACAAGTTGTCAAGTTGTTGGTTTACTAAACTAATATATATATATATATACTGTATATATATCCTTTTGTAGCACAAATAAATCGTCATAGACACAAGCCTAATGTTAAATGTCCCCCTGCTGCACCCCCAAATGAGATCTAAGACTGAAAAGCCAAGTTTTCGTTTAGGTGGATATGCAGGATATGCAGTTGGGAAAGAAATATTACAACATCATGAGCGATGAAATTTCGAGCATTTTGTTGGATCGTCCCAGGAATCACGGATTACGTGGAGCACGTGGCTTGCAACTGGGTTCAGAACAACGGGCCCCGCTGGCGCGCATGGATTCCCATCGCCACCGAATGTACACGAAGCCTTGGCTTCGGATTGGTGACCGATGATGGAACCTTTGTGCAGGAGCTCTGGTGGAGTTTAGCATAGTTTAGCCACAATAGATTGATCATCTTCAATGTTTTCCACCGGTGAATACGATCATCTTGGGTTAGCCTCGGGTATTTTGGACAGTTGGGGAGTGGAAAACATTGGAAAATTATAGAAAAGGAAATGAAGATGGAAGAGGAGGAAAATGTGGATTTTGGAGTTTCCGATTCTTGAATAGTTTCTTTAGCAGGTTACATCACATACAAAGTTTTTGTGACATCCGCAGATTTGTTTTGCACACGCATTTGAGCATCGTTCCTTCAGCTTGGAAAGGACCGATCGTTGGCAACTGGCTGTTCCCTTTGCACGCCGGGAAGATTTGCCTCGACCTACTCCGACAATGTTGGACAGTCCGCAGTTTGCATCGAGTGTGCCTTGGTTGGATTCGTTAGTATGAGATACCAACAACAAACATCCAATACAAGAATCCAAGAACGTTTGCTGAAAACCACGGATTTAGATTGGATGTTCATAGGGGTATCATGATTACATTTACCATCAGATTGACAGTGAACTGTGAATAGGAAATCCATCTATGGGGATGGATCAAAACCTATTGGTGTGGGGTAGTTGCCTCAAGTTGCCGAAAACGTCGTAAATAGGTGGTGTTTTAGGCGTGCGAAAGGTATGGTTTTGCAGGGTAATGTACCATGCGGCAAAACAGTGACGGTAGGTATCGATTCCCCCTAGGTCCGGTTTTCTAGGTCCATGGGTCAAGAGTATAAGGGTGAGACAGGTATGGGTGAAAGTCTGCGTGTGAAAAGTCTGTGGGTGAAAAGTCTATGGGGGGTGAAAAAACATATATGGGTGAAAAGTTTCTGGGCGAAAAGTGTATGGGTGAAAAAAGTATATGATGTATATGGACGAAGAAAAGTAAATGGGGGAAAAGTCTGAGGGTAAAAAATATATTGTGAAGATTCTCTGGGTGAAAAGTCTAGGGGTGAAAGGTATATGGTTGAACAGTCTGTGGGTGAAAAGTCTGTGGGTGAAAAGTCTATGGGTGAAAAGTATGTGGGTGAGACGGGTATGGGTGAAAAGTTTGAGGGTGAAAAGAGTGTGGGTTGGGAGGTTGTGGGCGAAAAATGTATTGGTGAAAGTCCCTGGGTGAAAAGCATATGGGTGAAAAGTATATGGGTGAAAAGTCTGAGGGTAAAAAGTATATTGGTCAAGAGTCTCTAGGTGAAAAGTCTGAAAAGCCTGTGGAAGAAGAGTCTCTGGGTGAAGAGTATATAAACATAAAGGTGTCGTGTCTCTTCTTACATTAAGTGCAACAACATATAAAGCCTAAAGGTGTCGTGGCTCTTCTTGCATTAAGTGTAACAACATATAAACCCTAAAGGTGTCGTGGCTCGTCTTACATTAAGTGCAACAACATATAAACCCTAAAGGTGTCGTGTCTCTCCTGACATTAAGTGCAACAACATATAAACCCTAAAGGTGTCGTGGCTCTTCTTACATTAAGTGCAACAACATATAAACCCTAAAGGTGTCGGGGCTCTTCTTACGTTAAGTGCAACAACATAAAAGCCCTAAAGGTGTCGTGGCTCTGCATTTTATGCCCAAAGTGATCCCATTTATGCCCAAAGTGATCCCATTTATGCCCAAAGTGAACCCATTTATGCCCAAAGTGAGCCCAAGTGAGCTCGAAGTTATGCCCAAAGTGAGCCCCTTGCCTGTGAAAAGTCTGTGGCTAAAAAGTCTGTGGGTGAAAAGTCTGTGGGCTAAAAGTGTATGGGTGAAAGTCTGTGTGTGAAAAGTCTTTGGGTGAAAAGTCTCTGGGTGAAAAAACATATATGGGTGAAAAGTTTCTGGGCAAAAAGTGTATGGGTAAAACGTATATGATGTATATGGACGGATAAAAGTATCTAGGGGAAAAGTCTGAGGGTAAAAAACATATTGTGAAGAGTCTCTGGGTGAAAAGTCTAGGGGTGTAAGGTATATGGTTGAACAGCCTGTGGGTGAAAAGTATATGGGTGAGAAGTAATTATATGGGTGAAAGAATGTGGGTGAAAAGTCTGTGGGTGAAAAGTCTACGGGTGAAAAGTACACGGGGGAAAAATTGAAGGTAAAAAGTATATTGGTGAAGAGTGTCTGGTTGAAAAGTGTGTGGGTGAAATGCCCGTGGGTCAAAAGTATACAGGTGAAACGGGTATGGGTAAAAGTCTGAGGGTGAAAAGAGTGTGGGTTGGGAGGTTGTGGGCGAAGAATGTATTGGTGAAAGTCCCTGGGTGAAAAGTATATGGCTGAAAAATCTGAGGGTAAAAAGTATATCGGTCAAGAGTCTCTGGGTGAAAAGTCTGAAAAGCCTGTGGAAGAAGAGTCTCTGGGTGAAGAGTATATAAACCTAAAGGTGTCGTGGCTCGTCTTACATTAAGTGCAACAACATATAAACCCTAAAGGTGTCGTGGCTCTTGTTGCATTAAGTGTATCAACATATGAATTGTAGAACCCCCGTTTGGCTTAAGACTGCTTTTGCCGTTTTGGTGCAGGAGGGGGGGGGTATTGGTGCACGGCTGGTGCGCGGAAAAGGAAAATAGGGGCAAGGGTGGGTCTGGGAAGGGAAAAATAGGTGCGGGAGTGGGTTCTTGCCGATCTATGGCATCTCTGGATCCAGTCAGGATCCCGTCGGGACCCAGTCGGGCACCAATTTTTGCATTTTTGGGCACCGCTTTTGGCCAGTCGGGATCCAGTCGGGATCCAGTCGGGATCCAGTCGGGATCCAGTCGGGCACCAATGTCGGGAGGCAGCCAAATTCATAAAAAATAGCATTTTTGCAGTGTTTTTGCATGTTTTTGGGTGATTTTGGCTGCTTCCCGACAGGTCCAAACGTGGTGCCAAAAATTCGAAAATTGGCGACTGGATCCCGACTGGATCCCGACTGTCCAAAAGCGGTGCCCAAAAATGCAAAAATTGGTGCCCGATTGGGTCCCGACTGGGTCCCGACTGGGTCCCGACTGGATCCCGACCCGGTTTCTTCAAAAAAACACCTATTTCCTTAAATTTGAGCACCTATTTTTGAAATTTTAGCACCTTGCCGTGCACCACCCCCCCCCCTCCGTTTCCCCCTCCGGACCCCCCCCCACCAGTCTTAAGCCAAACACGGGCTTGGCAACATATGAACCCTAAAGGTGTCGTGGCTCTTCTCACATTAAGTGCAACAACATATAAACCCTAAAGGTGTCGTGTCTCTCCTGACATTAAGTGTAACAAGATATTAACCCTAAAGGTGTCGTGGCTCTTCTTACATTAAGTGCAACAACATATAAACCCTAAAGGTGTCGTGGCTCTTCTTACATTAAGTGCAACAACATATAAACCCTAAAGGTGTCGTGGCTCTTCTTACATTAAGTGCAACAACATATAAACCCTAAAGGTGTCGTGGCTCTTCTTACATTAAGTGCAACAACATAAAAGCCCTAAAGGTGTCGTGGCTCTTCTTACACTAACCCTAAAGGTGTCGTGGCTCTGCTTTTGATGCCCAAAGTGATCCCATTTATGCCCAAAGTGATCCCATTTATGCCCAAAGTGATCCCATTTATGCCCAAAGTGAGCCCATTTATGCCCAAAGTGAACCCATTTATGCCCAAAGTGAGCCCTTTTATGCCCAACGTGAGCCCAACTTATGCCCAAAGTGAACCTCAAAAAATTATGCCCAAAGTGAGCCCGTCGCCTGTGAAAAGTCTGTGGCTAAAAAGTCTGTGGGTGAAGTTTGCGGGTGATAAGTCTGTGGGTGAAAAGTTTATGGGTGAAAGCCTGTGGGTGAAAAGTATATGGTTGAACAGCCTTGGGTGAAAAGTTTATGGGTGAAAGCCTGTGGGTGAAAAGTATATGGGTGAGAAATATATGGGCGAAAGACGGTGGGTGAAGAGTCTGTGGGTGAAAAGTCTGTGGGTGAAAAGTATATCGGGGGGAAGTCTGAGTGTAAAATGTATATTGGTGAAGAGTCTCTGGGTGAAAAGTCTACGGGTGAAAGGTATATGGTTGAACAGTCTGCGGGTGAATAGTATATGGGTGAGAAGTATATGGGTGAAAGACTGTGGGTGAAAAGTCCCTGGGTGAAAAGTATACCGGTGAAAAGTCTGTGGGTGAGACGGGTATGGGTGAAAAGTCTGAGGTGCAAAGTCTGTGGGTGAAACGTCTGTGGGCGTAAAGTGTAGGGATGAAAGTCTGTGGGTGAAAAGTATATGGTTGCACAGTCTTGGGTGAAAAGTATATGGGTGAGAAGTATGTGGGTGAAAAGTATGTGGGTGAAAAGTATGTGGGTGAGAAGTATGTGGGTGAAAAGTATGTGGGTGAAAAGTATATGGGTGAAAAGTCTATGCAAGAAGAGTTTCTGGGTGAAGAGTCTCTGGGTGAGAAGTATATGGGTGAAAGACTCTGGGTGAAAAGTCTGCGGGTGAAAAATCTTTGGGGGAAAATAGGGGTAGATGGGATGCTGGCTTTCGTTCCCCCCTTCTCAGGTATTGTTACACATATTGTCACCATATTTGGGCTATACCAGCGTTTTTGACTCATAGCGTCCGAGGTCCAAATGGAACGGCTCAAGATCGCGGTGGCCAGACCGAATGCGTGGAGTGCGCTGCGGGGACCTATCGAGTACCATCAGGCGCCTGGAACGGATGGTGGCACCAGTTTAGAATTGTAGATGGAGAAAACCAGCAGAAAGCACTGAAAGCACATCATGAGCAACAAAATAGAGGCGTCGGTTTGCCTTTGTTTACCCTTTGCTTGTTTGGGAGTTCTTCACATGCTTTTTTTTTTCCTATTGCCAATTGTCTTTCTTTCGCATCTGTTGTTTTGCCCATCCCAGATGGATCCAGATGGCCTGCGGCAGGTATTCGGTGCAGCCCCTGCAAGAAGGGCACATACCAACCGCAAGGGGCACAGGATAGCTGTCTCTCCTGCAGTTCGCCCATGACCACGGTGACGGTGGGAAGCGACACGCAGGACCCGATGTGGATAGGCATGGATAGGCTAAGGTGGTACCCTGAACAAGCAATGGATTTATGGGACGATAACGGGATGAACTAGAACAAACCATCCCCAATTGGAGGTGACTATTGGGTATGGTATACTACTGGCATCATTTAAAATGATTCCAAAGGGTTGGTGAGGTGGCTTATTCTTGGCATTGCTCGCGGGGATTGGAGGACATGTGCATTTGCCCTGCGAAGACCTACCGACCTTGCTACGATGTGGACAATAACGGATCACTTCGATCAGAGTGCCAATGTGACACAGGTTTCTACACACAAGGTGGCCTTGGGACAAAAAACAGAGAGATCCAGAGATATTGATATAATTTGATGATGAAATTGATGATTCGAATTGCTGTGTTGAAGCCATCCAATCTTTTCACCATCCAGGTGGAAGATGTGTTGGATGCCCAGACGGGATGGTCTGCGAGGAAGGTTCTGATGAGCAGTTCTTTCCTTGTGCGGAGGTGGACATTGTGAATTCCACGGTGAATCCTTACCCCAAGCCGGATGAAGGATACTTTGTCCTCTTGCAACAACCCACCTATGTCTTCAAATGCATCGACTTATTGTCGTGTCCTGGGGGTCAAGCAGAGAATTGCGGGGCGGGCTTGCGTGGCATTGCTTGCGGAGCATGTGACGCTGGCTATTACAAGCAAGCAGGCGCCATGGCCTTGACCCCGCCCCAAACCCCTTGCCCCACCCCTTGCCCCACCCTCGTGCGATCATAAGCTCACCGCCAGGCTCATGCAATCAGTGTGGCGAATTTGAGCAGAGCCCACTGTTTTTGATCATCCCCGCGTTGATCTCGCCGGCCTTCGTCTTTGTTCTCTACAAGGCCAGCTAAGGTGACCCCAACAATGTGGTGAAAGATCCCCCGTTCGGAGGCTTCACCATGGCATTTTGCTTTCGCCATGTGGAGTTCATCTCTGTGTAGAAGTTCACAGAGGGCTACCGATGTCACATTCAGATTTGGGAACGGGAACAAATTGGATATACCGATATACCGATATATATACCCAACATGTTCAAAGCCCCAAAACTGCATGTCACCCACCCAGTTCCGCAGGGATCCACACAACCATTACCTTCAAAAGATGAATGTTTCCCTGGATGACTCCGTATATTTATGGTCGTTCAAGCCTTCATACCACCCAAAAAACCATTGATATCTCCATAGGAAACAAAAATCCAAAAACATTATTGATATTTCAATATGTTTTATACATTTTCAATCATATTTTCATACATTTTTCATGATGTGTCTATCCGCTATCCTTTTCAAGCCACTCCATTTGGGGGTTTTTGGGCGCCCAAATTTTTCCGCTTCCTTTGAGGTGTCCTTGGCGGACGTTCACCTCTGGGGGAGAACTGGTCAAGGCGCCGGGGATTCAGCAAGTCATCATGTCATGATCATCATGATATCATGATGGTTAATGATGGTTAATGATGGTTAATGATGGTTAATGATGGTTAATGATGGTTAATGATGGTTAATAACATCATTATAATGATGGTTAAAAACACTAATTAACATGATGATTAAAACCATTGAGTTATAACATTAATCACTATCATTAAATTAATGATACTAAGTAGTGATGGTTAATAATGATCATAATGATATCATGATGGTTAATTAGTGATGGTTAATAATTAGTAATGAGTGATTATTAGTGATTGATAATTAGTGATGGTTAATTAGTGATGGTTAATTTCATGATAAACATAATTAATGATGATAATTAGTGATTACTCCACTAATGATGGTTATAATACTGTAATCCTAATTAGTGATCAATTAGTGATTGATTAGTGATTGCTTGTATCATAATGATTAATTAGTGATAATGAGTTGAGTTATAGCCATTGAATTATAACATTCATCACTTATCATTGACTATCATCATAGCATTTCGCTTGAGTTTTTTCTTCAGTAATTAACTATACACCATAAACCATTGATAGGTTGAGTCTATGGATCATGATTTGTGGGTGATGGATTGGCAATCACTGCACCTGATTTTCTGGATATGTTCCCCAGTTCCAAGCAGCTAATTTTCTGCACTTTCTAAATTGAAGGAGGTTAATCCTGGATTTGCTTTGCCCCTGGTTGGTTTGATTGGGAGGGTGCCACTTTTTTAAGCAAATGGACACATTTCTGGCTGCCAAATGTCCCTCAAGTGGGAAAGGGAAAAAATGCGAACCTATTGAACTTGTTCCAGGGGTACACTAACATATAGATGTGGTATTCACCCCTGGGGAAAGCCGTTCGGAAAAGGATCTTCACATAGAAGGTTTGCCACATCTTTAGCTCCAGGTTTTGGTGGCATTGGCTATTTGCTGCTGGTCTATGTGCAGACCGTTTCGGTGATCATTTCAGTGTTCCCCACTCTGCCTTCAACGCTGGTTGGTGGCACCTTGGCTGTCAGCTGATGGTTTCACAGTTTCACAGTTTCTGAATTTTGCTTCAATTCCTTCGAAAACACGGATACTTAGTAACTAACAAACGATGAAATCCATCTTAAATCATCTTAAATCCCATGATACTGTGGATGGTTGCGAAATCCTGCACCAGTTGATAGGTGGTAAACATCCCATGATTTATAGGGTTTTCAACCATCCTTTTGGTGGTTTATCGGATTTCTGAACCATCCACCATGGGCCGTAACGGCGCCTCGGCGATGTGAGGGGTCCCTCTGTCGAGGCATCGGATGGACGTCGACCTCAGCAGAGATCACCAGCCTCTTCCGTTTGGAGTGTGCAGGTGGACCCGTGGACCCGGGAGAAGTGACGGGTTGAAAAGTGGAACTGGAAGTGGTGACTGAAAGTATTTAATGGATTAATATGGATTTTCTTTACTGTGGCAGTTTTCTTCGAGATGTTTTTTGTCCCCAACAGCGTAAGCCAACGGTGTGCACTGGAGCAGACGCCGGGCCAGGTTCAACGAGGTTCCGGAGAAGGTTCCGGAGAAGGTTCCGAAGGTCCCGGAGAAGGTCTGGGAGGCTTTGGTGGTGCAGAGCCAGGTCAGGTTCAACAGGATTCCGGAGAAGGTTCCGGAGAAGGTTTTGGAGAAGGTCTGGGAGGCTTTGGTGCAGAGCCAGGTCAGGTTCAACAGGATTCCGGAGAAGGTTCCGGAGAAGGTTCCGAAGGTTCCGGAGAAGGTCTGGGAGGCTTTGGTGGTGCAGAGCCAGGTCAGGTTCAACAGGATTCCGGAGAAGGTTCCGGAGAAGGTCTGGGAGGCTTTGGTGCAGAGCCAGGTCAGGTTCAACAGGATTCCGGAGAAGGTTCCGGAGAAGGTCTGGGAGGCTTTGGTGCATAGCCAGGTCAGGTTCAACAGGGTTCCGGAGAAGGTTTTGGAGAAGGTTCCAGGAAGCCTTGGTGCAAAGCCAAGTCAGGTTTCTGGGGTTCCGGTGAAGGTTGCAGAAGCCAAGCCAGGTCAGGTTCATTTAACTCACGGAAACCCAGCTGAGGTTTTTCCAGCGCTTGGCTTCGCAGCACGGTTCAGAAAGATTTGTAAAAATAAAATGTTGCGGCTGTTGGGGATACACCGAAGCTTATTTTTTAACTTGTTGAAATTGACATGTTTGGAGATGTTTGCATATGTTCAAGGCATGAAATTTGTGCGTAGATAAATTTGAACGCCCAAATGAAGATGGGAATTGATGGGAAGAAAGGTGGATGAAGATTTATAGCAGCTAGGATAAGACATCAGTTTGGTAAAATTTGCTGGGTCCCTGCAGTTTTGGACGATGCCAAATGTCACAGTTGTCGTGGAAAATGAATGTAAGGTAGTAAGGCATGTCTCTTTAGTTGGATTCTGGCTGATTCCGCTGGATGCCAATGCAGGCCCATCAGACTTTGTGGGGAGCTTCATCCTGAACCTGGTGCTGCCAGAGATCGCTGGAATCATCTTCTTTGTTACGTGGTTGGGTGCCATGTCCTGACCTCAGGGGATGTGCAGGTTGTATCCAGCTGTCAGTTGCTGCAAGTGGATGATGGCACTTACATTGTTTTGCTGAGGTTGATCAGCAGGTTGGGGCCTTGACGTGAGAAAATCACGTTGTTTTGTGCAAGACATGCTGAGGGGAAGTGGGGAACGGAATTTTGATCCTACTGGTAAGGATCCGACCATTCAGCTCAGGTTTTTGCTTCAATGTTTGATGCGTTTGATTTTGGCTTGTTGATTCTATCATTTTCTAGCTGATGTATTCGTCGAGTGCTGCCTCTGACTGTTGATTATATTCTCTGGCAATCAAGCATGACTGGCTGGAATTTTCCCCTTTCAAATTGAAGATCATTAGTAGATATTAATTAGCAGATATTAGTAGATATTAGTAGATATCAGTAGATATTAGTAGATATCAGTAGATAATAGATAATACATGATACATAGTACAAAAAGATATTAGCGATATACCGATTTATTCATTCCAGGGCGACTGATGGTCCCAGCGTCTGATGGTCCCAGCGTCTGATGGTCCCAGCGTCGATGGTAGGTTCGTCCCTAAGCTCCGCATGGACGGCGACGTGGTGCTGGGCTGCTTCGGAGGGATCTTGAAGACCTTCTTCGTGACGGTGGCCTCCAAGTGCCCTCGAAGGAACTTATCGAAGTTGCGTTGCGCGTTGCCGCGTTGCGTTGAGATGGGTCTGGGCTGGGTGAACTTTATGTGAACTATAGGGAGATTCCTATTTCCATGGAGTTGTTTTGGCCGTTCTGATGTCCAATTTTGTGTCTGAACATGGGGTATACCCCAAGTTCTAGCCATTTTGATGGGGATAATGATTGTTAATTGGTGGTTAGTAGGGAACGGTGATGGGAGATATGGTTGTATCCATATTCCCTATGCGGAGCCAAGGGGTTACGAATTGAGTTCCCTAACCACATGATAGTTGTTGGAAATGATTTTGGATATCTAATTTAGGGATGATAAATTGCTATGGTGATTGTAAATCTTAACAATCATGGATCGACTTTGGTGAATTTCTATGCTTGGAAATTGATTGGCGATTTTAAGTAACCCCGTTCCATTCCATGGCTTTCATCATCATTTAGCCAATTTCTCAGCCATAAAATTGGGATATCGCCAGTTTGACTCGCTTATTTTAAGCTTAGACGCACCAGCAATATCCAGTAATTTGGGGAATGGATAGGGCTTTTCAATTGCAATATATAATTCATGTATTGTTACCCACTGGAAATTTGAGAGCAATGGGCAACCACCACATATATATTCGAGTCGCTTCGCGACGAGAACCGCCCGCACCCAGGGAATAGGACGGGGAGGAAAGAAGCGGGCCTACTGGGCCCAACCAGAAGCTCGGGGGTCAAACTTGGCCGTCCTTGGCCTTAAGTTGGGCCGAACAGGAGACCACTTGGGCCCAACTTGGGCGTAACTTGCGCCGAACTCGGGCCAGTTGTGAGCCCAACTGCGGTCCAACATGGTGAGACTTGTGCACCTTTGGATTTAGCATGCGCAACTTGGTCCTGTCTGGGCGCATCTGGCACAGAAGTTGGGCCCGAGACCAGCCCAATGTGGGCAACATGGCCTCGAACGAACCCTCCTCAAAGCCAAAAAACGTTGGAAATTGCGGGAAGCTTGTCACATCGAGTCGGCAAAATTGGCTTGGGTTGGACCCAACTTGGCCCCGAGGCCCAACTTGGCCCAACTTGGGCCCAAGTTGCGCTGTCTTGGGCGCAACTGGTCATGTTGGGCTGAAGTTGGGCCCGAAACAAAGCCATGGAAGTCCAAGTCGGTTCTAACATGCCGCAACTTGGCACCTTTGGCGACAGCTTCACACCAAGTTGGGCCAAACGGAGACACAACAGGGAACATTGCTTCAAACGAAGCGTCATCAATAGCAAAAAACGTGAAAAATACCCGTGAAAACTGGCGCTTTGAGGATTTCGGAGTCGGCTATGTCCCCCAATTTTGAAGCCACATGGACCTCAACTTGGGCCGAAGTTGCTCCCAAATGGGTGCAAGCTGCGGGAAGTTGGAGCCGATTGGTCCAAGTTGGGCCGAAGTTGGGGCCTTGCTGGCCGAAGTTGCCCCCAAGTCGGGCCAATGTTGCGGCCATGTTGGATCGAAACGGTCCATTTGGGCGATTTTGGGCCGATTTGCAAAATGTACATTACCACAGTCCCGTGCAATTTTTGGCGGCCTGCTTCGTTTGAAAATGCCCCCAGCTGAAGCTGTACCAGTCTGACAGATCTGTCCGGTCGCATCTACGGATAAACTACCACACCTCGGCACCTTCGGTGCTTGCGGATTTTAGATACTCTTAGATACGTACAGTGGCCGCATCTCCCATCCATAGCTATGTGACATGCCCGCGACGTCCGCCAGGTGCTTCTCGCTCTTCCAGTGCTACAACCATCCCAATAAGCGGTTGTCCATGCGCGCCAGTCCAGAGGTCTTGCAGGGTTCCGAGGAATGGTCCAGTGACTTGACTGAAGAGTGTGCCACATCCAGTAAGGGTCACGGTTTGTAATGCCGACATGTGCCCGGAATCCATGGGTTTAGCAGCTTAGCATCCTTATTCTTATGAACATATATGACACTTGCAATTCTTGTTCAGATGTTTTTTTCCAACATTTTCAGTTGTTTTTTATAGGGAACATGATCCGAAATGACAAAACTTTCAGGGGAAAGAATGATGATTAATCCATGGATTTGCGGGACCATATTCCTTATACTTACCATGTTTTTACAGTGGCACAAATGGTTTCGGGGATGGTGGCATGGATTAGGGGATGATTGGGTGTTCCACTAAATTATTCTGGAGATGTCAACAGATTCCCATGGCTGCCTGCCTGGTGAACCATTAGTTGGAGTTGCGTCCCACTTGGTGCAACACCCATGTTATTAATTACTCAATTACGGGATAACCCATGTATGTGAATATCTAAATATGAAAAACATGTTACTACGCAAAAATGTAAACATGTACATATTCAAACATCTAAATATTTAAATATGTAATCACGGATCTATATATCTCACATAAATACATGATATAATTGGATCTATATATATAAAAGTACATATAAATTATATATATATAAATATACATAAGTACATATAAATTATATATATATATGTATATATAATATAACTCAATGTGGCCCTCCCCAAAAAAGTCTGAACATATATTTGTTGTCTTTTCTAAGTTTTTTTAATGTTCTTTCCAAGGTTTGTCTGATTTTCTTAATGGGGCCTCCCCAAAGAGTATCAAAATATTCATGCTGTTCATGCTTTCATCATGCTAACTGTTGAAACAGACAACTTTTGACGTTGATGGGTTGAGTAGACTATGGCTGGGGTGAAGCAGACGATGTTAATAATGCTGATCTTACAATGCTTCGGGGGGGTTCTGGTGTGTGTGTGTGTATGACCATATATATATATATATACATTATATATATATGTATATATATAATATATATAATATATATAATATCATATAAGGATCATTCGCCACCATTTAGATTTTACGATGCCACCTCTTTCTGAATAGGCATGGTGATCTTCGCGGCCATGGCCATCTTGGTGAACTGCGTTCTGCTTCTGGTGGTGATCTCCTGGGCCATGTGGGTGGCACCGCAGCGCTTCCATCTGAAGAGCTTCCGCATGCGTTCCGAGACAGCAACGGCGCGACGGAGCGACGGATGAGGATGTTGGGGATATAACCATGATGGTAAATAATGGTAAATAATGGTCAATAATGGTTAATAATGGTAAATAATGGTTAATAATGGTGAATCATGGTAAATAATGGTTAATAATGGTGAATCATGGTGAAGAATGCTTGATAATGATTAACAATAGGTGGGATCATCGAACCCCGAACAAACAATAATGGAAGGGTATAGTTGCGGTTTCATACGGGTCAATCATGGCTAAAAGGTCAATTTTGGTATCTGAATCAATGTTTAATGGGATTTGGTAGCAAATTCAATAGGATTGAGTGGGAGCGACTGGTGATTTAATGGGATATAACCCTCTGGTAATTCACCAGACTGCTTTGGAAGCACAATAAAATCGAAATCTATGTTTTCTTTTAAACATGTACATGTGATCCCGGTCCCCGGTTCGCTGGCCCAGGGTAAGGTTCCCCCCGTGGTATGGTCCCCCCTAGCACGTGTGTACCTGCATGGTGTTAGTACAATATATGCCTTAAACAAATAGGTAAATCGTCGACTAAATGGGTAATTTCCCGTGGCTATATTAGTTTGCTGGAGGGGAAGCAACGAAATCTTGGGATTTAGCCAAGGAAATAGCGGGGGTTTGACAACTATCAGTAAGTGAACATGGTTTCACATATTGTTTAAGTGCGTTTGCATTAATAAATGAATAACAGTAGTGGGAAGTACTAGCTAGATAGTTCATTTTGTTGCCATTGTGGGTGAGGCTGGGGGGTTTGGCCAAACGTGGGGATTGAACCATGAGCACATGGAATTGAAGAGAATAGTGGGGATGGAACAAGCACCAGAATAATTCTTGAATATCGGGATTTAAAATTGGGATGTTAAAATAGCGGGAATTGTATCAAAGTACAAACTATATGAAACTATATGAGATAGATGTATATATACAGTGATTTAAAATATACCAATAGTGGAACAGAATATTAAGATTTAAGAACCAGTATCAAGGTACATTTAAACCCACCGGCTAAGGTAATTCAATGGTTGAACATGATTTGCCACATCTATGGGGGGATTCGCTGGGCAAATATTATCCAGCGAAGGATAATGTTCGTTGAGACTATTTGAGATTCTCAATGAATCGACAAGAGTGTGTATAGTTGCTTAGTAAAAGGAAAACATCAACAACTACATTACAATATGAAGCATTATGTATATATAACCAATGGGATTTACAGGAGTATTCACAAGAGTGGGGATTGATCGGACATGATTCAACCCTGAACGCTCAAGCAGTTTCCGGCAATGAGTTGCATGGCAGTTCGAAGATTTCCTAGCCATGGTAGTAGCCCTGATAATTACGTTGGTTAATATTACCGTAATTCCAATTCCAATTGGATATATATATATACATATTTATATATTATATAATTCCAGTTGTTGATATATCCTTTTGAATAAACAAAGGTTATTCAGCTAGAATGGAATATACAACCAAGTATGACATTTTTTTACTGTATATATTCGCAACTACAGTCATTATTTATTTTGTTCATTCTTTTCTTCGTTGAACAATTCATGGTCGCCGTCCCAAAAAAACAGTCATCGCCCAGGCTGGAAGTTCATGATCCAAAAGATGCGACCGAGCGTATATTGGTGGATGATGACCATCTTCTTCAAGGATGGAGATGGTCGAATCCCATCGGCCGACAAATCCTCTGGTAAACGTTTACAGTTTGCTATTGAACATGGCAATTTATAGCTGATTTAGCCATTAAAAGTGGTGATTTTCCATAGTTATGTAAACGTTTACCAGAGGGTAATATGGCAAATCCCATTAAATTTACTGGTAATACTAAACCATGCGATCACAGCGTGGGGTGTTTTTTCCGGGTTTTAGGGATCCATGATGCATTCTCAGGGCCTTGATAGAAGCGTGGGACCCCTGCACAATGATCTTCAAGGATGGGATGGAAAAAAACCATGGGATAATGATGGGTATAAACCATAGGATAGTGGATGAGAAAATTATACACCAACCATTATATATACTGGAAAAATATCCCCATGTTCATGGGATTTTATGGGATATCTTCATGTTTTTACCCTCTTCCAAATGGGTGTATAAACCAGCCCTACCATCTTCCGGGATTCGTTTAACTGATAGGGTTGGTTGATCGCGGAACAACGGAATAACATTTATTCACGAAAGAAAGATCATGTCGTACACTGATGGCAGTGGCTGGAAGGGGATGACGTGCAAACAACATGATCCCACTGAATTTGTTGAGGGAAATGTCAATCGAGCATGTATCTTCTTACAAAAGTTCACCATAAATCCGTCTATTTGTGGCCTTCTATTCATCATAAATCCACTACTCTTTATTTTCGGGATGCAACGGGTGTCGCGGCAGGGCTTGTGGATTTCGCTCACCGGTGTCCTCTTCACCAATGCGATGCAGCAATCTCTGTGGGTCTGTTTTGGTATCTCGGTTTTTATTGGACTTTAGCATTGTTAGGGTGATTGGAAAATTATCCACTGATCTTCATTTTGGATAGTGTTATTAGGTTGATTCACGAAAATAACATAAATATCCAAAGAATTATGAGTTTGACTTTACCATTATTAGGTTGATTTCTGAAAAAGCACAGAACTATCCGAAGAAGTATGGGTTTATGTGGCAGACTTTCCCTTAAAATATTCATTCGTTGACACGAGGGACGGTCAGATTATCACCAACATGCACTGGAAAAACCAACATATTTTTAGCCTGATGATTGATAGAACAGCTGTTAATATATGTTAATATCAACCCCCTTCCACTTTGGTTAAACAAATAGGTCATGCTTCGACCTATTGAGTCCCCGGTATGGGCTGATCCAACAGATTAGCTGAGGTCTGCTGTTCTACACGACCATTAGCTACGTGTTCCTGCCATGGCGCAGTGTCTTTGTGACCATCTTGGACATCGGCACCCACGTATCGACCCTGCTTCTTTGTCTTCTCTTGCCCTTCTTGATTGATTTTGAGGAGGAGGAGCAGCAAACCGCGGTGTACCTTGGTCTACGCAGTCCTGGAAGATACCTGGGCAGAAGGGGGCAGACTTCAAGATTTCTAGCTTTGGGGTGGCTAGCACAACGAACCCTAGCTTCTTCAGTTGTCCTGTTGTTGAAGAACGGGTTGAAGAATTCACACTTTGATTTTGAACCTTTTAGCGTAAGCAAAGGTAATAGAATCCCAGGGTGGGCATCTATTTGGCTATGTCCAAACATGCGAACAAATACCCCAACTCATGGTTTCCCAATGGTTTCCCACTCCCAAAAATGGGTTAACTGGAGTCTGGGGTTAACCGCACCTTCTACCAGATACGAAGCGGGGCTGAGGGGAATCTTCGTTGCCTTGGCTGTGTGCGGATTCCTGAGCCTCCTGGCTGCATTGAAACAGTTGGAACCCACCTGGGGTGCTGCAAAAGTGTACGTAGATGATTGAGCTGTTGAACCTGATGATTTTCCAACCATGCTTGGGGATGATGATGCGGCATAGGATGGCATAGGCTTGGTGATGTGGGACTGATTTTCGATCAAAGTAGGATGTCATTTGGATTGAAAATAGACTTTTATTCTCCTTAAATGACAATTTGAATGAAGAACATGAGACCCTACAGGCCCCAGTTTAAGAAGGTCTCCCAAAGTCCAAATCTATCAGCAGTACTCTCAATCCATGGATCTAGTGGATTGAAACCTTCTTCGTAGATTGCATGGTTTGCCACTCTTCAAAATGAAGCTGAGTGTGACTAGTGCTTTCGGTAAGATCATCTCCAGTCTCCAGAGGAAAGGTCCCAATTGACCGAACTCGTGGGTAACATGACCACAGACAATTTCTGCTTTGTTTTCTTTTTTAAGAGCGCTGTAATTGTGATCATAGAAATCCAGAATCAGATGGGACAGGCTGAATTTCACCAGGAGAGACATTCCTTTCTTGTCGATGGTCCCGCCCCTTTTGTATATATATTTTGTATATATATATATACTTGATTACTCAGTACTTCGTGACTCGTGAGACTAACCTGGATGTTGCATAATGTTGCCGAAAGCTCAGAACATCTCTGACTCCAAAATCAAAACATGTACTTTTTGGGTTGAAACAGGGCTCCCCGTGGCAGCCTTGCAATGTCGACCAACAGCCTTGGTTACATTGCTGCATCCTCTCCCTCTGTCCAGGAAGGCCAAGGAACCCAACCCCTGGTGGAACTCCACATTTGCGGCTTGAGTGGTGAAAAATTGATCCGCACGAAGCTCCCTGCCTGCACTCTGGGCTTGCAAGTGCGACAGATGGTTGCGGAGAAGCTTCCATCAAAGCCTGGTAGAAAGTTGCTTCTTCATCATGGTGTTTACAAGTTGATGCTCGACAGGACCTTGCAAGAGCAAGATATTGTGGGAAAGGAAGTGGCATTGACATACACCTTCTCTGCAACGGATTTGTATGCCGCATTGTCCTTTGTCCAGGGAAGGGCAAGGAAAGAAGACCCCTTTGCACTCGAAGGGGTGACGTGCATCAAATATGCCGTAACTCATGAGTATCTGCTCAACCTGCCAGAAAGCCTTCAAGACTTGACGTTCGGTGCCGAATTCAACCGGAACCTGGAGGGCGTGATTCTTCCAAGCGATCTGCGAACCTTGACATTTGGTGCTGAATATAATCAGAACCTGCAGGGTGTGACATTCCCAAGCGGCCTGCAAAGCTTGACGTTTGGCATTATGTTCAATCACAAGCTGGAAAGCGTGACCTTCCCAAGCGGTTTGCAGAACTTGACGCTTGGTTCTGCCTTCAACAAGAACTTGGAGGGGGTGACCTTCCCAAGCAGTCTGCAAAACTTAACTTTTGGTTATGACTTCAACCAGAAACTGGAGGGTGTCACCTTCCCAAGCAGTCTGCAAAGCTTGGCGTTTGGCAGGGAGTTCAACCAGAACCTTGAGGGGGTGACTTTCCCAAATGGTCTGCAAAGCTTGAAGTTTGGCCGGGAGTTCAACCAGAACCTTGAGGGGGTGACTTTCCCAAACGCTCTGCAAAGCTTGATCTTTGGCATAATGTTCAATCAGAACCTGGACGGCGTGACCTTCCCAAGCGGTCTGCAAAACTTGACGTTTGGTTTTGCCTTCAACCAGAAACTGGAGGGCGTGACCTTCCCAAGCGGGCTGCAAAGCTTGACTTTGGGTTATGACTTTAACCAGAAACTGGAGGGTGTGACCTTCCCAAGCAGTCTGCAAAGCTTGGCGTTTGGCAGGGTGTTCAACCAGAACCTTGAGGGGGTGACTTTCCCAAATGGTCTACAAAGCTTGACGTTTGGTTCTGCCTTCAACAAGAGCTTGGGGGGCGTGACCTTCCCAAGCGGGCTCCAAAGCTTGACGTTGGGTTATGACTTTAATCAGAAACTGGAGGGTGTGACCTTCCCAAGCAGTCTGCAAAGCTTGACGTTTGGCAGGGAGTTCAACCAGAACCTTGAGGGGGTGACTTTTCCAAATGGTCTACAACGCTTGACGTTTGGTTCTGCCTTTAACAATAGCTTGGAGGGCGTGACCTTCCCAAGCGGTCTGCAAAACTTGACGTTTGGTTCTGCCTTCAACAAGAACTTGGAGGGCGTAATTTTTCCAACCGGTCTGCAAAGCTTGACGTTTGGTTCTGCCTTCAACAGGAACTTGGAGGGCGTGGTTTTTCCAAGCGGTCTGCAAAGCTTGAGGTTTGGTAGGGACTTCAACCAGAACCTTGAGGGGGTGACTTTCCCAAATGGTCTACAAAGCTTGACATTTGGTTGGAGGTTCAATCAGAACCTGGAGAGTGTGGCCTTCCCAAGCGGTCTACAAAGCTTGACTTTAGGTTCTGACTTCAACCAGAAACTGGAGGGTGTCACCTTCCCAAGCAGTCTGCAAAGCTTGGCGTTTGGCAGGGAGTTCAACCAGAACCTTGAGGGGGTGACTTTCCCAAATGGTCTACAAAGCTTGACGTTTGGTTGGAAGTTCAATCAGAACCTGCAGGGCATGACCTTCCAACCGAGTCTACGGACTTTCATGGTTGAGGGTGTGCTGGTTAGCTGCTCGTGATTTGTGTGGCCTTTGGTGCTTCCATCACCGCATTCTGGGTGTTCTCAACAAAACCCAAGGGCGTGAAATAGGCGCTGCTGCTCTTTGACTAGTTTCCTAAGAGTGGCTGAACTCCAATGATGCCGTTGATGTTGATCTTGATGTTGCTGTTGATGATGATGGTGATGGCGGTGGTGATGATTGTGATGGGTTGCCCAAGCTCCAGGCGGTCCCATCAGTCAGGATAACATGCTCTGAGGGAGTTCCGTAGATGATATAGATGAAAAATCCCCAACAGCTGCATGATTTAACCGTGGGTTGGGTTTGTCTCAAAATAGGCTACCCTAAATCGACGGGTTAATGAAACTTATCCCTAGGAACATTTTGGGAGGTTCCCCATTCTCAGACACAAAATCGGATATAGTTGGCCAGAAAAATCGTTCTATATCGCACCATTAATATCAAATCACTTTTTTCCCAAAAGCATCTCCGATGCTTGGGTTCTCGTTTAGTTTACTTTGCCGCGCGGGGAGCGATACGGAAGCGACGACAGGGTGGACGGACAAGAAACCGTGGGAAATAGCTTGGGGAGAGCTCCGTTGGGAGGAGCGAGACGGAAGCGTGGACACCGTGGACGGATGGGAAACCGTGGGAAATAGCTTGGGGGATCTCCGCTGGAGGGTGCGAGAGGGAAATGTGGGCACCGTGGATGGATGGGAAACCATGGGAAATAGCTTGGAGAGAGCTCCTTTGGGAGAGAGCGAGGCAAATAGGTTGGGGAGAGCTCCGCTGGGAGGGAGCAAGATGGAAGCGTGGACACGGTGGACGGACGGGAAACCGTGGGAAATAGCTTGGGGAGGGCTCCGTTGGGAGTGAGCGAGATGGAAGCGACGACGGGGTGGACGGACGGGAAACCGTGGGAAATAGCTTGGGGAGAGCTCCGTTCGGAGCGAGATGGAAGTGTGGACACCGTGGACGGATGGGAAACCGTGGGGAATAGCTTGGGGGGACACCGTGGACGGATGGGAAATCGTGGGAAATAGTTTGGGGAGAGCTCCGTTGGGAGGGGGTGAGACGGAAGCGTGGACATCGTGGACGGATGGGAAACCGTGGGAAATAATAGCTTGGGGAGATCTCTGTTGGGAGGAAGCCACATACTGAGAAGCAGAGATGTTAGCACGGGCTTTCAGTACAAATTTCATCAATGCGATTGTCCCTACTGTGCGCCCAAGACTTTTCAAGTGGTTTGCAAACATTGGGCGATGGGACATGCATAGCGTCTCTGGCAGGGAGCGACACTAAGAATTTCACCAATATGATTGTTCCGAAAAAATGTGCGCCCAAAACCTGCCAAAGTTTCCAAACCCTGGGCCATGGGACATGCATAGCTTCGTTGGCAGGGAGCGAGACTAAAAGAGCAGAGCTGTTGGCAGGGATTTCTGGACAAATTCCATCAACGCGATTGTCCCGAAAAACTGGCGCCAAAGACTTCTCAAACTGTGTCTAAACGCTGGGCAAAGGGACATGCCGGACATGCGTGGGAAAAAGTTCTTTGCTGGAGGGGTTTTCATTTTGCACGGCTTTCTGTCCGTCGATGCTTGGTTTTCGCTCCCTTTGCAGCGAAGCAAACTAAACGAGAACCCAAGCATAGGATTTGCATCCGCGTGAAGGGACAGGTGGCGAAATAGCTTGGGAAGAGCCCTGCTGGGAGGGAGTGGCACTGAAAATGCAGAGCTGTTGGCACGGGTTTTGCACAGAGCAGCTTTTACACACAGGAGCTTTACACAGAGGAGCTTTACACGGAGGATCTTTTACACAGAGAAGCTTGTACACAGGGAGGACTTTACACACAGAGTCTTTTACACAGAGAAACTTTTACACAGGAAAGGTTTTACACACAGAAGCTTTTACACAGAGAAGTCTTTATACAGAGTAGTCTTGACACAGAGAAGCTAGCACACACAGAGGCTTTTACACAGAGAAGCCTTTTACACAGAGCAGCTTTTACACGGAGTAGCTTTTACACGGAAAAGCTTGTACACGCGGAGAGAGAAGTCTTTACACAGAGGAGCTTTAACACAGAGAAGCTTGTACACACAGAGGAGCTTTTACACACAGACACTTTTACACAAAGAAACTTTTGCACAGAGCAGCTTTTACACACAGAAACGTTTACACACAGAGGAGATTTACACACAGATGCGTTTACACACAGAAGCCTTTACGCACAGGAGCTTTTACGCAGAGTAGCTTGTACACAGAAGTGTTTACACAGAGAAGCCTGTACACACAGAGGTTTTTACAGAGAGAGGCTTTTACAGAGAGAAGTCTTTTGCACAGAGAA